CTGAAGTCACTCGTGGCGCTGGACAATGACAGGCAGCGGCCGGATGAGGACATCGGCTGTGTTGCAGCGGCCGGAGCCTGTGAAATTTCAGAGCCCCTTCACTTTTGACAAAAAAAATGTTGCTCAAGTGCGCAAGAGTGATTGGAGTATTTGCGGGGAGGTTTTAATCAGCAGTTATAAGTTATAAATGGTTTCTTGTGTACCTCTAATTGGACATCTTGCCAGGGTTATTGCCCAGGCCATCCGAGCATGTGGGTATGGGCTTCTTTGGGAAGAGGCCGAGACTCGGAGAAGATGCAGCCTGGGACTTCGGAGACCCACATCCTGCCATCCTGGGTCATTTACAAGCTCGTATGCACCTCTCGGGAAAGGGGGTTGGAAGATTGGAGGATCAGGAGGTGTTGCCTGGGGTGTCCAAATCTACTGGCGGGCAACTGGTACGTACTCTCTCTCTCTCTATCTGTCTCTCTTTGGGTTCCATGGTAATTAACTGAAATGCTGCATGGTGTTCCAACCTCCAGGCTGAAGCTACCATGACTGCCTTCGCTTTGATGTAGAAAAACTGCTAAAATGGACTAAGAGCTGTTCAGCAATATGAAGTGACCATTTAGTTTCTGTGGTCCGGCCCTGATGGAGGGAAGGAACGAGGGATAGTACTTCAGTCCGATCTCACGGGAGGCTGACCTTGGCCAAAGGGGCACATATCAAAGAGAACACATGTCATGTGATTCCGCTGGAGTGCCCAGGAGAGAACACGAAAGCTCCTAGTAGCTTCTTGCTCCTAGTAGTATGGCCAGGAGCCCCTAGTAGCGTCCTTGCTCATAGTGATTTTGCTGGAGTACCCGGCAATCAGATTTGATTCGTGCCACGTCAGTTCTTTTTCATGAGGAACAGTTGCTGGTGCTTGAAATCCAAAGCCTTGGGGGCGTTCTCAGAGTGAGGGAGATTTAGGAGGATCCTCACAAGCTTACAGCCTCCTTGCATGAAGCTAGTCACGAAGCTTACAGCCTCCTTGATGCCAATGGGCTTGACACTTTTTTAAGAAACAACTGCCGGTCCCAAAAGGCTGGAGGTTTGCCTGACAGAGGCGGCCTGACATGGGCCCTGCAGCAACCTAAACACAAATCATCGTGCTCGGTACAGAAACCCAGATGACGTGCTTTCCGATTTCTATTCGACTGAGGGGACTTCCGGGGGGGACCTGGTCGGAGGCCTTGATGCTGATCAAGGATGCTCAGCTCCAAGGCAAGTCACTGAAACGAACACAGACATCAAAAAATAACCAAAGCCAAAGACCATCTCTTGGTGATTGCTGCAACTATTTGATTCATGCGGTCTAAAAAAGGGACATTCTCGTGCGGTCACCCCATCCAGCTTGAAATGTTCAAACCGCTCGGACATCGACGGACTGGGCTCCAGGTCTCAGGCTGAACCTGAAGGCCCGCCACGCGCTGCTGGGCAGCTTAGGAGAGGCGGCTCAGTGGCCGCCAGGCACTCAGACTGTTGGTGACTGGAGTTGGAATACAGAGAACAGTTTCTTACCTCCGAATCAAAACAACACATTCTGGACGAACAAGGCTTCTTCAGGAGGGTTTTCTTCGCAGTCTTATGCCAAATCTTGTGCAGTGTGGCTTTGGGACCCAGACATCGCCTCGGATCTGGAACCGCTGAGGCTTTCCTTAGCATTTTTGGAGGACCGTGGACTGATGAAGGTCTAGCCGTACAACATATGTTTAAAAACATAACAGACAGGTGTTTCTGGGCCAGCCATGCAAATTATGGTTCGTGTGATCTCTTGGACGAGGCTTTGGGAGTGAAAACTATGCACTTCTTGAACATCTAGGTGGTGATATAGTGCTACTAACTACATATGAGACAGAAGAAGACCATTGACGTCCTCATGTCAGCCACCTGTATATACGCCATACCATTCCACGCATAGCAAGGAGTCGCAGATGTGCGAGCCCATGCTGGATGCGGAGTGCTTCAACACGGCTCCTTGGCCAAAAGTTGCGCTACCTCCTACATCATCATGGGAGGTTTACGGCGTATAGAGACAAGGATAGAATGGACGTCCTTTCGCTATTGTGAAAAGCGTTGTTGTTTCTATTTCTTCAGAAAGTAATCCAATGGGATTCGGGACACATACTTTGCCGGGTCTCTTTCTTTTTCCACATCGCAACTCTGTTTTGCAGTTCCAATTGTGAAGCCAAGCCAACATAGTGGCGGTGCTAGATGACATTACTCGAGCGTTGTTTGTATGCATATTTATGGATAATTTATATGGTCACATATCATAACGTCACCTCTACCTACCTTTGGGAGGGACACAGCACGGTGACAGAAAGAAAGGGGGGTGGTAGATAAAGGGGAGAGTTTCCGGAGTTGGAGTTTAAGCATCCACTATTTTTGTTGGTCTTTGCTTCATGCTGCCAGGCAATGCGGGCATGTGCGCTTGCAGGTGCGGCAACGGGTTGCTGGAAACAAATTACATATTCCATCCTTTAGCAAGCAACTCATGCAGCTAGTACGTGTTCCTGGTGTGGTGTGGTGCAAGTAGATGCAAGTAGCATGAGTGGAGTAATAGATGGGCAAAACTCAAGCAACAACATGCAGTTTCTTGCGGGACTTTTCAGAGATGCTCGAGACCTACAGACATGCCCTATCTTAGCCTGAGGCAAGTCCTGGTGCGAGTGCCTCTCTCTAGTGGAGGACAGCACAGCGAGGGCATTTCCAAGGGCATTCCAGGGTCAAGGGCTGAGGCGATCATTCACAAGCAATTGCTGTTTTTCATCCAACACTTTCTTACAAACCTGGGGTCTGGGCTACTGGTAATAACGAAGCAATTGTGGGTCCATATTTTACCTGACCTGGCAGTCTGGGAAAGCGGCCAGAGACCTAACGTGGCAACCAGTACCCAGCTCAAAACATCAAGAATTCCTAAGAGTTGGGTAGGGAAAAGCCAATTGCCATGAGTTGGATCAATCCGTTCTCGGAGACCAACTTGCTCAGCAACTGCCCCATTAGACTCGAATCTAGTGGATAAACACCTAACACAGCAACTGGAATGTGTGTTCACTGCTCGCCTATCGGACCTTTTCTCCTTTACCAAGTGGTCACAATGCACTGCCACAAGTCAAATCAAGTAGGGCCAACAATGGAACGTGATTGTTTTTGATAGTTTGAGTATCATGGGCGTATACTGGACTGGGAGGGAGGTTTCAATTGTTCCGTGCATCACCTTTCTTTTCTTCAATCAATACATATCTCCTCACTATAGATACACAGGTCGGTCAGCAGATCCCCACCCCAATTCAACTAGACGGAGCTTTGCCAGGAAATCAATCCACGCACCCAGACAAAGCCGGATCGCTTCTCTTGGAATATCTTCGATGCAGTGTGGTCAGGCCGTTGATGGCTGACGTTTTTGACAGATGTGTCATGATGTGTCCAAGAATGTGTCACTGTGTGACAGTAGATGGATAAGCAATGGACAAGGATGGAGGGAGTTGCTTGTAAGTCAGTGAGACCTTGAATTTAAGAGGCCCGATGCATGCACATAGGCCCCGATGATTTGTGTGAGCCATGAGTGCAGATGTTCATGATGCTGTGGCTGCGTCAAGACTTACACATCTCAGTGAATGTGACACCAATTTCATACGATTTCCGATAAAGACTTACATTGCGACACCCAGCCGGACCCCTCCCACCACAGCCGAAGGGTCACACATGCAAAGTAATGCCCCTCACAATATAGTGTCTTGCTTGGGCTGTTCCAGAGGTCGATTGAACAGAGATAGATCCTGCAATATTCCATACATGATGATGTCATCATGTTCATTCATGTTGGAACCCTTTTTCTTGAATACAGGGTTCAATCGCTTTTTGGGCAGGCTCGCTCCAACATTTGAAGACGAGCGATTCAGCATGGTGACTTGGCGGCGTTGAGGGCGATTTCTCGGACCCGTTGGATTCGATTGGCCCAGGAGTCTAGAAGTGCCAAGTTATGAGTTTATAAGTCAACAAGACTAGTAAGGCACCTTGCTACGTTCATAGCTTCTTGCTACTAGTAGTAATGGCCTCCAACCTAATAGCAATTGCCTCCAACCTAGTAGCTTCTAAGCACTTTAAACTTTACCTACCCTATTTCATGCTGCTTGTGGGACAGCCTCATGGAACTTGGATTGCAATTGTGTGTTTGTGGGGTCATGTGATGCAAATACTTTTTTAGTGGCTGCTATGTTATCAGATGCATTATTAATTGTACGTTTGACCCTGTCCAAGAGAAAAACACCACATGGCTTGAATCTGTGTGGCCAGGTGGTCTCAACTCACTGATGACACCGCAGAGAGGCGGTGGAGCAGAGACAAACCGTTTCTCGCACCGTTCTCTCATCCTAGTGGGCGGAAAAGTGACCGCCTCGACAGCAGAGCCGATGTGATCGACGAGCTTCTGTTTGATGTTGAGCTTCTGACACCAAAAGAGAGATGAATGAATGTGATTACTCAGAATGGTCTATCTATCTATCTATCTATATATTTATGGATCCTGAAATTGGTGTGAAGCTGCCAGCCAAGCCCTTACTGTTGAATCTAGTTGAGGTGGATGGTACAATGCATCCTTCTGCCATCGCTGAGGTGAGGCATGAAGGTTTGGCTCAAGCTCAATCACTTCACTAGAGGTGCCGCCCGCTGGAGTGTATCCGGTAGTCGTGAACGGCTACTAAGAGCTTTTTGCTGTGAACATGTTCAGCTGGACTCTAGGAGAAAAGGTTTGGTGTTCAGTGTGATTTTTCACAGGGCTGAAGTAAGCATGAGTAAGCCAAGACGTTCTTGATTTGTTTCTACTTGCACCTACATGAACAGCTAGTACCTTTGCTGGAACATGAACTAGAATGCGCTTTTACGCTCCCTGTATGCGTTTTGTATATTTATCGTGCCTACAAAAGAACACACTCCGCCAACGACCAATGGCTCTATCACTGATGGAGAGAAAACCCATGGCGAAGTTGATGGCCATGAGCCGTCCGGGAATCCCAAGGAAACCGATTCGCATCATGGCCAGTCGGAGCATGTCGGAGCTTTGGGAGTGCCAAGCACAATCAACGATTTCTGAAATGTTTCATGATGATAGGGTCGGCAGGGTGTATATTTTGTTCTTCCATCTTTGAGATTTCACATTTTGATGGAAAAATTATGTTCGAGTGTTCAATTGGCAAACTGAGCTTTGAACCCGTGTAGCCGAGCTCAGGTGGACACAAACCTGGAAACAAACTGGTTTCAACAATTATATATCCGTCCTGCTACGTCAACCGGCCTTCCATCAACCACTCCTGACAGGGCTGGAAATGGCAACTATGTCCAATGGGAATCCACTTCATTCGACATCACGTCACATCCGCACCTGTCCGCGTTGTCAGACGCGTCGCCCAGGCCATGAGGGTCGTTTGCCCTCCCAGCTGGTGGCCCAGGTGGTCCGGCTCCGCTACCAGGCGATGTTGCTCGTTGAGCTGTGAGCTGTGAACGTTGGTGTAGGTGTATGGTTTTTGAAGGTCTGGGAAGAAAAACACGTGCAAAACTGTGGCAGGTTGGCCCGGTGTTTCTTCTTGTTGTTTTTTAGACATAGCCTGAAACTGGAAGTCTTTGGTCAAGCCAACCATTCCAGATGATGTTCCGTTCTTGAAGTCTCAGAAACCATGTTGCGATGCAGAGATGGAGAGATTCAGGGCTACTGCGGCTACTGTGCTTGTCACTTCTTCAGACTCCACGAGGAGTTCCTGGACGCTGCGCGTCTCAACGCCTCGAGGCCTCCTGGACGCTGCGCGCAGCGCAGATCCGCCGGCTTTTTACGCCGCTGAGGACAGCTCTTCCAACTGGAGAAGGGGCCTGAACAGATGTTTCAGCAGCAACTTGTGGGCTATTGATTGAACCTTTTGGATCCCTGTGGGATTTCAGCCGCTTCGAATAAAGAATGCCTGAGCACTGAATTCCAGTGACACTGAATACTCGAGTCACTGACCACCGTCCCACTGCCGGTGTCGAGCCCAGGAAGTCTCGAAGATCCCTTGGCGCCCGCTCGAGCAGCCAAGTTCAGGTGGACCATGGGAGAGATGGTGCGGCCTTGGTGGGGTCGGTGTCAATGTCGGTTTTAGCGGAGACGTACTTGCACCAAATGAAGCGGACAACATCCAACCAGTCAACTAGTCAACACTCAATGCTTTAAACTTTAAAAATCATGTGGGGGTTGCCCTGAGTACTTCTGCACGAACCAGCTTAGTCTTGTGGAATCAGGAAGCGCAAGTACTAGACATGTTAAACGCCGATGGTTGCTACTGGCCGTCTAGCCGGCACCAACGGCCTCGATCAAAATGGCGCAATCTTCACCCAGGTGGACGATCAAAGAGATGTGTTGTGTGTGTTTTTTGCGTTTTGTTGGCACTGTGGGTGGGTCTCCAGGATCAACAATGTCTGTGCGATTGCATCGGGAGACCTCCCAGTTTGACCTCAATAGACAGGTCCACCCAGCCAGGTCCAGGTCTCCCTATGAAAAATATGCACCCCAAAATGGCCTGTTGATACGACTCATCGACATTGCCTAGTAACAAGAAGCTACTAGGGGCTCCTGGCATCGCTACTAGGAGCAAGGACGCTACTAGGGGCTCCTTGTCGTACTACTAGGAACAAGAGACTACTTAAAACCGATTGGCATCACATCGACAGGTCCTTTCGGCGCACGTGCTCCGTCTCTCTGATGGGGGCACGTGCACTGAAGCGCGTTTGAGCTTGCAGTGGACGCTACCGGGTGGCGCCCAGCAAGTGGCGACTCGGTTGATGTCCAGTGAACCGCATTGCTGTGGAACTGGGCCGTTATGCTGTCCAGGGCACCTTCAACTTTAACTCAACTTCTGGGACACAATTGAGATAAGCTAAGCGGACTCTTGTTTCCAGATGGTGCAGTAGTATCCAATACAAGTTCTTCGAAATCAGAGCAAGAGGTCGAAGGATCCTTTCGGCATCCAAGGGCATGACCTTGCTGAAGGGCCTTTTGACACCCAAAGAGGTGGAAGGCACTTCGGGCGTGCCAATGATTTGTAAACTCTTTCTATGCAGCTACAGGTATATATGGTACATATATAACATGTTACATAATGTATCATGCAAACATATGTTGATAATTGCAAGGACGCTACTAGTAACGAAGGGCGTCGCTACTAGTTTGCATGAATAGTTTGAATAATTTGCAGAATATATGTGGCTACAGAACTGGGCAACTTGGAGTTGGCAAGCATATGAATATGCTCAACATGTCCCTGTGCAACAGGAGGCCACTGGTAAAACATGGACAAAGAGAAGGTTATAAGCCCCTTTAAAGGGGCCTCACAGTGTTTTGTTATCTCGTTTTTAGACCCGAATTCTTTTGTGGAGGACATTCACCTCAGCTTTGCAGCGTCACGGGTCGCCGTGTCATGGCGTCACGGGCGGTTGGTAGCCAGGACTCCTGCTGCATGTGCCAGAGCACTTTGATTTAGCTTCTTGGCAATGGAACAGCGGAACACTCAGGGTTATATACAGCCGTTCCTGGCTTCAGGCCCCGGGTACGTTCGAGCAGATTTGAGGATTGTATAGCTTATTTGTATTGTTTTACATAGTTTTACACTCCATTGCCATATTGTCAGTGGATGAACTTGTCCAGGTAGATTTATATAACACAGTTTTTCTCGGTCGCACTGCACTAGTGTTCCTTCATTCTCCAGCGGTGGTCAACTTCAGGAAGGCGGTCTCCACTGTAGACTTCAGGCGTCATTAGCTTGAAGAGGCTGAAAGCATACATAGGTGGCGTGGTCGCCAAGTACTAGCATGGGCTTTGTGACATTTGTGCAGCCCTTTTGGTCGTTCACGGGTGTTAACTGTTTAACTTGAGTTGAATATTGAAGAATTTTGAATGTGGTGGCTTTGCCGGACTGTGCTGACAGCAAGGACCGAGCAGATGTGGAAATGGTCGCGGACTGACATTCTCACTTGGTGGTTTGCTTGACAGACGTGTTTTCTAGACTCCATGACAACAAGCAAGAGCATAGCAAGTCAAACAACAGTTGAACTTGCAAATGGCATTCAATTGCATTGTGCCAAGTGCTTCGGCTTGAAGACTTAATCCCGCTCCGTGAGCCCCAGGTCCCAAAGAGATGGATCATGCTCGAGCGCGCCGGGCGCCCGGTGTCGGAAGCTCAGAGGACCGGGCTCGACCAACTCACCAAGTCCACCGGCTAAACCAGGCTAAACCACCGAGAGTATCCTAGGCCTGTGTTGATTTGAGAGATGTTATAGGATCACCAGTTATGTTGTTCATTCTTGTTCCATTTGTCCATATTTGTCCTATTTCCTGGGACTGAGACGTGATCACCAGTTCTGTTTTAGGAGACCTTTGCCACCTCCAGGCCTCAAAGAGAGCTCTTGGTCGAGAAGATGCGACCCTACATCGAAGGTCCGGGGTCTTGGTTGAACGTCTGGGGGCATGGGAGGTTGCATCTCCTTTCTTTGGCAATTCATGGATATGATATGATATGATGTTGTTTGGAATAGTCAGGAGTCAGGAATGACAACTTGAGCCCAAGGCAGGCAGATCGTGCGCTTTCGTGCCAGCCCTTTGAGCCCCAAAAGCCACAGAGCAGCGAGCAGCAGTGTTTCTGAGTATTTTGACATCACGCGCAGTGCCAAGCCCTGCCTGCAATGCAGGATGTGTGTGTGTGTGAACCTTGCCAAAAGATGCCAAAAGTATGTGCACTGCAGCAAGTGCCTGAAGCAGAACATTTGACACTGCAGACAGACACTGCATCATGAGCTGAATGGTCGGAACTGCTCCCATGCATTCAGCATTTGGCGGGTGGAAGGGAACCCCAACAGAGGAACAGCATCCACTCGGAGTGCCATTTTTGTCCAACTCACGTGGCGTGGCATTGATGGAGCTTTCGGAGATTGTGCGTTTGGGCCGATTCCACTCTCTGTCACCTCAAACAATTTAATGAACAGAGAGCGGTCAACCTTGGGTAAGGCCCCACAAGATTCATGGGTCGCAGAGCCAGGACGGAATTGCGAAGATTGACATACAATTTCATGCAGCAACTCTGTCCTTTGCACATGTGAGCGAGATCTTGCGTGCGCAACTATTGGACCATAGGTCCAAGCAGTGAGCACGGTTTCTCCCCCACGGTCTTCGCAAAGTTGGTTCACCTTTGTTCTATTTGGTTCATGGATGAATGGATGTTCCCCATCACACAAAGCCAGACAAGCACAATTACAATCCCAGATGACAGGTACTGTGCTTCATTTGCCTTCTGGCATCGCGTCATGCAGAATTGAAAGCTATATTAGATTGGGTAATGTTTTGCTGTTTGGTCCTACCACTTCTTGCAAGCTCAAACTTCCCGTTCTTTCCTCGAGTTTCAGGCAGCTTGTCCTTCGCTCTGCAGGTCGCCTTTTGCCGTACTTGCGCGCGCATCTGGGCTGTCCGAGCTGTTTGGGACACCCAGACCACTTCGCCTTGGGCCGGCGTAACCGGTCCGCGGCAGATGGGAGTGGGTCGACCGGTCTGTGGCGCATTGGGAGTCTCAGAGTCTTGGCGTATCTCTTTTGGTAAGTTGGTTTCTCCAGATCTCTTTTGGACAGAGTCATGGTTGGTTGCGTGTTTGCGCATTTGCAGAACTTGTTGATACAATGAACTTCCAGATGATGCCCGAGTCTTGTTGATGCAACCCCCCGGCGCGAACCGCTCAGACGATTCGGACGGTGACATGGAGTCATGGGACTCAGCGTTTCATGGCGGGTCCGCATGGTGATGTCTAATGAATAATATACTGACTAGTATTGACTAATGAATACTAATGAATCTAATGAATCACCCTGGAGTTGATAGAATCTGGAACTTGTTCAAGAGTATGACCAGCTAATGGTTTCCTCTCGATTGACGATGAGCCCAGACTTGTTTGACGGACAAACAGTACACAATCCGGCGCAACACTGCAACCTACTCGCAACTTTCTGGGTAAGGCTTCCCGGCAGCATCATCCATGGTCGCAGGTGTAGTATGTTCCTCCATCATGCGGCGTTATTCCATGGCAGGCAGCTCAGTTTTTGTGGACACTGAGATTGGATTGCAATCATTGTGGAATGCAAGGGAGGTTGTAAATAAATGTTGCCAATCTAGCCTAAAACTAGGCCCTTGCCTTTAAGATCCTTTAGGCATGTTTTTTGAGCGATGCGAGCTTCAGCACTAGACTATTTGACTCCAGTTATATATTTCATGCGCATTGAAGCTTGTTTGTACACTAGTTGGTACAAACGAACTTGACTCCTGGTTCATTCTTTCCATCATTTCCGGACATTCCCAGCGTCCAACTCAAAGTCTTCCTCGCAGCATGTTCGCGAAGGATTTGGGTGAAAGATACCGAGACCCACCCCATACGGATGGACAGGCCAGCAATGCCAGCACTGTTCTTATGATAATTATGTTTTCTATTTGATGACTTGGTCACCTGCATGCAACAGTATCGCTCAAGCATGATCGATGCAATTTGCTGTTCCCAGTTCTTGAAAGGCCTTTGCCACTGCCCGGTGCTGAGCAAGGTTTGTCCATGTGTTTGTAAAGAGCTACATTACAAACCTTTGATGTGGGCAAGTGCCACAAAAGAGCGGATTTTCGTTTACGACATCAACAGTATATGAGTCCACTCTTCCGTTTAGGTCTTGAAACTATTTCCTTGCAGAGACTCCACACAAGTTGGCAACGCCCCAAAGTTCCCAAATATTCGGACACAATTTGGAAGGCGTTCTCATGGAAGAGTTTTTTCTGCGACCGAAAGCACCCAGGTGGTGATTGCCCTGAACAGTGCTGGGCGAGACTATGAGGGAGGTCGTTGACTTGGTCTCTTCCGGACACGGGGATCGCAGAAGCGCTTCTTCAAACGATACTGGTACCAAGACATACCAAGACTGAGACCAATCCTACTGCAGAATTTTGATGCTGTCGGGTCAGTCTTTTTCAAGGCCTTCTGTGGAATCCAACCAATCCCTTCCACGCGCCCCCCTAATAAAAAAGCGTTGATGTTGTTCTTTTTAGATTTGGGGTCGCCAAAAGGGGTATTATGAAAACACGGAAGTGGAAACTCGTGTTGTATCGCGACCGCACGAAGTGTCGGGATGGAAATGAAACAAGGTGTCTGCCTGTTTTGCATGTGCGCAGCACGTGAGGTCTCAAGGGGCCCCTGCGGGGTGCAGGAGAGCCAAGTGGCAGCGACCGGCGGTCAAAAGCTGCTCAAACTCAAGTTGTACGGCGTACAATTCACACCGGTGGTCTTTAATACGACCTCCAAAACTCTAAATGCTTCTGGCTGCAAAAGGCGCAGCAGTTCCACTGTCTCAGCTGGGTGGCATCAGAGGAGGCCAAAGCTTGACAGTCTGCATAGGTGTGGTAGGACTTTCCAGTGCGGGTGGTGATGACCGCATCTGGGACCCAATTTCTGGAGAGCTGATCACGTACCGCAGCTAAGCGGTTGTGCGCATCGATCCAGTTGTCGCGGGCCTTCTTGTACTCGGTGTCAATCTCGCGCATCTCGATCCTCATGTACTCTCGGATGTCGATGAGCTGTTCAATCTCTTCTTCTTGTGCTCTGCATTGGGCTTGTAGGTCAAATAGTTCAGCTTCTTGGTCTCTCACAATGTCTTGCAGCCGCAGGTTCTCGGTGCGGAGGGCACCAAAGGAAGTCTCAGGCTCCTTCTCGGTCTGTGTCTCGGCCGCTGTAGAGCTCGTTGAAGTCATAGTCCAGGTCGTTCTTGTAACCGTGGAGCTCCATGATGAAGTTCCCTTGTTGTCACAAAGGAAGCGCCACAGCAGCATGCCAATTACAATGACATACAGGGTCACGGTCATCTCGGGTGACAGCATAGTTGCTATGACCTCATCCGCCGTCATGGCCTTGACTCCGATCATCTGCGAGGTGAGGACTGCAAAGGCCAAGTGGTTGGGGTTGCCAGTCCGAGTGATGGCATGGCGTCTTGCGCTTGCCTGTCGCTCTGCCAGGGTCTTCTTGGATGCCTGAAAGGAGACATCAGCTTGTAGTGAAAGGTGATGAGAACGAAGACGATCGGCAAAGAGCTGTCTGGCGGCATACTTGGTGACTCCATCGGCCATTTGAGCCTCAGATGAGACCCATTTCAGCCGGGACTTCATTGCCAGCATCTTTTGCTTGGTCACCATGACTTCAATCTTTGTTCTTTTGTCGCCTTGTAGGCTGGGAGTTTCAGCCTTGAGCGAGTCGTAGAGCGCCTTGGCGTCGACCACCAGCGACGAGGGCATAGTCGGTGAAAACTCGTCCACCTGTCGAAGTTGGAAGTCGTGTCGGGTGCAGCCCTCCCAGAAGATCAACAGATACTCCAGGGCGTCCATGGCGGCCGAACATGCCTGGCTCTCAGCATTGAGTGATGAGCGACTCACTCTTGGCAACTTGAAGCTTCTCCAATCCAGAACGATGTAGTCCTGTGTGGAGCCGTCTTCCAGGATCTGCTGGTTGCAGAGGAAGATCACATAGCCACCCTGGGATTCGCTGTTGCGACGAACTCCCCAGGCTGCGTCGCTCATGGCCACCATGCAAAGCTTCTCCATGTCTCCTCCAAGATCTCGAAAGATCAGGGCAGCGTCGCTGTTGTTCTTGGCAAAGCGGAGGAGCTTGTTGGCTTAAGGCTGTGACTTCGCCGCACAACAAAGATACCGAAGCACTCAAATGAGGTGAGGTCTGAGTGGCAGGCCATTGAAGTGCTCCGAGAAGGGCTCTGAGGCAACTTTGTTCCTTGTTGTTGAGGGAACGGTTGGCATCGTAATCATTGCATGTCATGGGCTTGACCTTCTTGAAGTAGTCGCTCTGGTGCAATTTGGACTCAGTGTTGTCTCGGCTCAGGTGGCAGCCGCAGAACTCCAAAGGTGTGTCTCCCTCTTCGGTCCAGTGCTTGAAGTTGAAGGCTTCCTTCAGCTTGGACTTGAGGTGCTCGTATTCAGAAGAGCCGGTTTTACCACAGCCCAAAAGGTCGTCGACGTGGAGTCCCACCATGGAGATCAGGTTCTTATTGGAGTCGTGGTAGGTGAAGAGGCACTGATCCAGTGGGTGAGCTCGGTATCCAAGGCTTTCAAGTCGCCTTCTGGCCACCGATGAACCATTGCCTTGGGGCGTCGGCTTGACCGTAGATGGGCTTGATCAGCCTCATCAACGTTCCAGCAGGAACACCGATGATGTTGCAAGCATCTCGAGGAATGCGAGCCCAAAGAACACGTTCTTGAGGATCACCTTGGAGGAATGCTGTGCTGACGTCGGCTGTCCAGCGTTTCCAGCCAGAAACTTGGCTGATAGCCAGCAACACTTGTCGGGAGGTCCTTGCCAAAGTCGGTGATGAAGTGTCCAGAGCGCCATTCAGCAAGTCGGGGTCAGAAAACCCTTGCAAAACCAAACGGGCCTTGGCCTTGAGGCCGCCCTTGCCATCAGCTGCCCACTTCAAAACAAAGCGAGCTTTCATCACTCTGTTGTGGTCGACAGAAGCGGGGTCGGTCTCGATCTCCCAAACTCCATTTTCAAAGATGCTTGAGAGCTCTGCTTTCTTGCCCTCCAGGAAGGTCAGGCGGTCCTCCAATGACATCCGGCGCTCATTGAGGTCGGCGCTCTCTTTGACATGTTTCTTGCGAGGAGCACTCATGCCAACTGCTTGCCAGATGTGGCCTCGGCCACGCAAAGTCTTGCATCTGCGAAGCTTGTTGGTGAGGTCGAAGTGTCTTCTGGTGTTCGGCCAGCTGGTGCTCGAACATGGTGAGGGTCTTTTCCAACTGCTCAATCGTTTTGCTTGTTTCACCAGGTAGTAGGTCGGTCATGTTCTCCTGGTCGACCTCCATGTAGGTTGTCTCATCCGTTTCACCCTTTTCACATGCCTGGAAGTAGGCGTGCACTTCAGTGGTCATCTCGAAGAAGCGTTCGTGGGCGTTGAGGTCGTCCAAGAAGTCGTGTAGCTTGAGGCCATTGTTGTGGTCATCTTCACATCGAAGATCAAAAGTCTCGGGGAAGAAGTCATCAGGACGTGTCACCCCTTCAGCGAGGCGAAGCAGCATTGCTCCCTGACGGCCACGTGGGATATCCCGCCAGGTCTCCTGGTCAAGCATGCGCATCCGAGAGCGGCCAAAGTCAATCTCGGCATGGAGGGCTTCAAGCAAGGGTCGGCCAAACAACATGGGAGTGGCACCGTAGATCACATAGGCTTGGATCTTGCCGCCAACGTCAGCCAGACGTGTTGGTAGCTCGATCATCCACTTTGAGTGTCCTGTAGCATCGCCACCGAAGCGGAAGGACTTGTCACACTGCTTGAAGTTCAACTTGTCCATGGGGTAGCCGAGGATTTCCAGCCACTTGAGGTAGCGCAGGATGTATTCACTGCCAGCCAGGAACGAAGAAGCTCCTTGGTCCTGGATGCAGGCGTCAGGATCTGGCGTGAGCCAGCCACCGGCACGAACCAAAGCTTCCCCTTGGGCGTAGGCCTCTTCAGGGTCATAGAAGATCTCATTCTCATAGTCGTAGCCCTCCTCAGCATCATAGAACTCTTCAATGCTGAGGACCATGTTGACCATTGAGTCATCATCTGCAGGTCGCTTCTTTGGTGAGCTCGACTGTGCACCTGCCGTCGAACAGTTTGCTCCGAAGTGGCCAGGCTTTCCGCAACGAAGGCATACCATAGCTGAGCGAGCTCTCTGCTTGCCGCTGGGCCCTTTTCCAGACTTTGAGCCTTTTCCTTTGGAAGAGCTCTTTGACTTGCCAGGGCTCTTGGATTTGCCTTTGCCGGAACCTTGGGCCATCAAAGGTGCTTGACCCTTTCCACCATCAACCACTGCCACGACGGGGTAGAAGCCACGGCTTTGTCTGAGCTGGTTGAGGCGGTTCTTGGCATCAACGTAGGTGCTGTAGATGTCATCGAACTCCTGGGTGTCAAACATGGAGTCCAACTCTTCCTGAGCTTCATCGTAGTGGAAGGTGTCATCGGGCTCTGGGTCATCCCATTCCCCCATGGTCTCCTGGAACTCGTCTCAATGGCATGGAAGTAGGTCTCTTCATTCTCATAGTTCTCATCCAGCTCGTAGTCCTCCTCCCAGAAGACTTGGCTCTGCCTCTTCCATCGGCCGGGGAGCTGTGGCTTCCTCAGATGTGCAGGAAGGTGTACATGGCGACGATCTTGGCCGAGGATCAGGTAGAGAGCCTGCTCGACAGCTGGAAGCGTGAGGGTCGAGCCGATGTTGGTCTGGATGAGCTGCTCTTGTTCCTTGGTCAGTCCGGCTCTCTTCAACATCATCCAGCCGGTGATCTCCTCAGGAAGATCAACTTTGTGCTTTGAGACCTGCCTGAGGGTCTGGTGGAACTCGGTGGTGTACTCCAGGATCGACTGTTCCTTCTTGCGCCGCAGCTTGAAGAAGAACTGCTCGAAGTGGGTCGGCATTTCGACCTTGGCGTCATACGCCCATTGGCGGTCCAGGCGCTTGAGAAGGATGTCGAGGCCAGATTCTTTCTCCAGCTCATGGAGATCCAAATCTTCGCACTGGGTCCAGGATGGACCTTCAAGGACTGAGAGGACGTTGAGGGCGATTTCGCTCTTCCGCCCTTGAAGCTCAAGCTTCCGGGCGTACAAGGTCACTCGCCTCCGCCATTCAGCATATGTCGTGGTCGTGTTGTCGAAGCGGGGCACGAAGTTGTCCTTCAGATCCTTGCCAGCATTCGCGGAGGAGCTGCCGCCATTCGCGTCGCGTGAGGTTCCGCGGCGGGACGGCGACGAAGCCATCGCGGTGCTGGAGCCCCCTCCTGTGAGGAGGCTCCGCTACCAATATGAAAACACGGAAGTGGAAACTCGTGTTGTATCGCGACCGCACGAAGTGTTGGGATGGAAATGAAACAAGGTGTCTGCCTGTTTTGCATGTGCGCAGCACGTGAGGTCTCAAGGGGCCCCTGCGGGGTGCAGGAGAGCCAAGTGGCAGCGACTGGCGGTCAAAAGCTGCTCAAACTCAAGTTGTACGGCGTACAATTCACAGGTATCCAAATCGAACGCATTTAGGAACCAGGGTTTCGGTCACTAGGACTCAGCTGGGGCAGCCAGGAGCTTTGGCAGTCTAAGTGGTGTGTTGAAGCCAGCCAGGGCCACGCAAACCCAGGAAGACAGGTTCGCTTCAGATGGTAGGAGGCAGGCAGGTTGATATCCTCTAAGACCATCTTCAATATAATTAGCCAACGTATGCCAACGTAATTAGCCAGAGAGTCCGCTAGACAGCCGAATGAGAGGCAGAAAGAGCCAGGGTAGACAGCCAGGGTGGACAGCCAGGGCGGCTTTGGAACCTAAAAAAACATGCTTTTAGTTTAGTAGTGGCTTAAGAAGTTGGCAGTATTGACTTTTTGTAGGGGTCTTCTCCTTTACTATTTTTCCACTCGGGTGGTGTCATTGTTTAAATCGTGGCACTCGGGACTCTATTTCCATCGAGCAAGGACAAAAACCGAGTGTTTCAGTCATACCACTTGAGGTTTGTACGTGGTCTCAGATCCATGGAGGCCCGTGGGGAATCCGTGCGACAGTGATGGCAAGCAGTGAACAGCAGCCGCAACACGAACATGTGCAAGTTCAAACCCATTCAAACGGGCCAGGAGCATGCAGCACACTCCCCCCAAAAAGCAACAAGGCGTGAGTCTTTGGAGGTTTTGCAGGTTTTGCTCGACCAACCCAGGGTAGACTCGCCCCGTCGCTCACCTTGTTCTTTTTTCCCACCCCTAAGGCCCCTCACTGTCTCCCTCGCCGGGGGGGATGCAGTGATCCACCGCTGGGATTTGCAGCATGGCGTGGAGGCCATGAATGTGTGGCCATGGGCGGAAGCGAGCGGGTCTCGACGGTTGCGCATTCGTATGCTGTTGTGAATCTGCAGAATGGGGTGGCTGCACAAGCCACTTGGCAGTTCTTCCGTGGGGTGGCATATCGGCATATTTCTGGGGATTTCGTGTCAGGATTCCTGGGCGTTTTCTATCGAAACCGCACCATATGCCCGGGGTCGCAGGTGACCTCTGGACGCCGGCTCAGTTGGATCCTTTGGCTGCAGGCGGGATGAAGACCTGACTCAAGGGGGTGTTCCCTATGCAACATCAGAAGACTCCGGAAGAATTGCCAGGTTGAGACGGAGTTGTTGCAGGACATCCAAAGGAAGGTTTCAAAGTAGCCCCACCCACCAAGAGAAACTTTGGATCTTTTGCAGGGACAACCGTGACGACCGTGTTGCGCAACGCACGAGTTTGTAGGCGCCGGCACCTGCAGGACCAAGCACCGTGTGTGACGCAAGTGGAACTTCATCAGCGATCCTTCCTGCAGTCCGCAGCAGAGGCTGGGCGTGGCGCAGGTTGGAAGGGCACGCAAGGAATAATTATTGATGTGATGAGAGGAGAGGGGAACAACTGAAATGCGTTGCAAGCGAAGAGGATTCTTTCACTTTTCATTCACCAGAGTTGTTTTTCCCTCAACAAACCACACAAAGCTGGCTGCAGCCTTGTCTCATGTGAGGGATGACATGTGGATTGATCGAGCAGTGTTTCTATGAAATATGTTTGTGTTGACTCTGTTGACCTCTTTCGAGTTTCTTTTTTGGAAAGTTGAGTTTCTTTGAAAGCATTCTGGCATGGCCATTCGCACGGCCCACGACATGTGCACTCGGCCTGTGGAGCTTGTAGTTTGTAGAGCCTCAGAGGATGGAAATGTCGTGGCCATGCAGATCCTCGGAACAGGCTGGAGCTGGAGTTTGATGTAGCATGTGGCTGCCCTGCTGTGGCCTGCAGCCTGCATAGCTAGCCGAAGCTGTAGTACCAATAAGTACTATTAATAGATGTCTATATAGATTGATACTTATAGACTATTCTGCTTCATGATGTCGAGGTGCCAGAAAGGCATCTCAAGTTCACAAGATCAAGCTACGTCAAGTTTGTCACGAGTTTATGATGGTCGATGCAGATCTATTCCTTGGTCTAGGTAAACAAGGAGATGCTCAGACTGCCCCAACTTTCCTGCTGCATGGACGAACGTTGGTGCACCGAACGAGCAGGCGAGAACGGGCGCAGCGAAGAAGGCCAACGGTGGCTCCGCATGGCTGCAGAGGCTCAGCACCCGGAGATTTAAACTATCAGGCAGCAGCAAGGTTAAAACATAATAACTTGACTTTCCCCAGTTTGCCTGCACAGTATTTCTAGTGCTTTTCTTGACTTCCTTTTGCAAAGCACGCACTGCAGCCTCCGGTCGCAACTGGAAACAAGAAGGGAAGCAGCATGTTGATGGCATTTGATGGCCATCCGGTTGAAGGCGGCCAGATGTTTGGCCAGCAACAGAAAAGGCATGCTTTCACGGTGTGATGCTTCACAGGGGTGTTCAGATTAGGCCGAAAGCGACGCTCCGCCGCAAGAGTTTGCCAGGCTGGTTTGTCAGGTGCCATGGCCCAACTGGCTAAGCACCTCAGGGAGCAGGGCCAGGAGGCTGGCAACGCGAGCGTATGCGTGGAAGGGGAGGAGGGGAAGAAGGGTCGCCCGCTTTGAAATGCTAAGAGTGTCCATTTGTTCGATGATGTCCGACCCTTTGGGGGGGAGGGTACGGAGGTTCGAGGGGTTCCGTGCTCGCATTACCTTCACCTTTTTGAGGGGTTCCGTGTTTGTTCATATCGTTGTTTCTCTTGTTTTCAGAAAATGCCTGACTGTTGGGTTTCAGCAAGGCGCTCAATGAATGTGTGTTCTCTTTGAGGCCCTGGATGTTGCAAGAAGCAGGTTCCGATTGCCACGGTGGAGGTCAGGGGCTCCCCCGTAACACTGCTTTAGAACAGGAAGCACAACAAGACGGCTTTAGAAGTGTGTCACTCTTTGCGCTTGGTTCAAATTTGAAGGAGGCATGAGGCATGTGTTTGTTTTGGCACTCGTTGCCGTCGGCTTGGCTGGATTTGTCCAAGTCCAGGCTGAAGCTCTCCAATGGCTGGGGCGACCAAGCTGCTTGCCTCAGTGTCCCATGGGAATGGCCTGTTCCTCATGATCCGCACAGCAGTTGAAACCATATTTGTGATGTCAACGGCATCCTTAGCCACAGGTGGTAGCAGGGATTCCCGTGGATTCCCTTCATGTGCCTCATTGTGTTTATTATTTTGTGTGTGTGTGTTTGGGGACATGGTGAAGTTGGTCAGGCAGCAAGCCATTTCGGCGGCCAGTCGGAAGAGCAATTAGTTTGCGACAAAAGACCGTGCAGTGTATTTCGAGAAAAACCTAGTAGTGATCCAAGATGGAGTTGGATTCAAAGCCTTCCAACTACAATTTCTTATTCCGGGTAGACGCGGCTTGTCATGTGGAGTCATCCGTGGCCAGAATCCACTGGGGCCGGGAGAAGGGCTTCGCTGCGATCCAGGCTGCAGCATGCAGCTGGCAGGGGTGATGCAGGCGGGGAACTGCTACTGCTACAGCACTTCGGAATGGTGAAAGGAAAGTGACAAGGGGGGAAAGCACTAAATTGCATCGAATCTAATATCATCTATATAATATCAATGTTTGTTGTTCCTTTAGGCTAAAACTAATTATGATCCTATGTAACTATATGTATTTCTATTTTGGTCAGAGGGTTGCAGGGCAGTCATGGTTTTACGTTTGCTTCCGAGATCGTTGCTTGAGCGACCTTTACGAGCTAAGACATTCCACTTTAAAGGCCCCAACCTGAGAAGGCAACGAGCAGGAGACGCTCCAAACACACCGCTCAACCTCAGCTGTGTGTCACATGTTCTTTTGTTTCCTCGACCGAACAGAGGTGCTTTGCTTGGATGTGTATATATATATATATATTTAACATATTGTCCACCGCGTCCCCTCCGGGGGCTCCCACCGCAACCCTGCCAGCAATGAAGACTGTGCAGGAGCTCAATCCTCTTTGGGCATGATGTTGCTCCAGCGTGGCCAACTGAAAGAAGCCGAGGAGTGTGTTCGGTGTTGTGATGAAGTGCACTTTATTAGTGGTGAATATTTATCAGCACCTAGTGCCAAGCTACTAGGAACAAGTGCCACGCTAGTAGTAACAGGTGCCTTACTAGTAGTAACAAGAAGCTACTAGGAACAAGTACCTATTCAAATTGTTGGGTTCAGGTCTTTTCATTTTCTATGCCTACGCAGCCACTCAGCACTTGTTCAGTGTTTTCAGTTCTGGTCACGATTTGAGGTTCATTGGGTAACACTGGCCATGCAGACTGCTAGCATGGCAACGCTCTTTTGAGCATGTTTAAGCTTCATTGGCTCAATCCTTGTGCTTTGAAGGGGTTTTGCCACCCGCTGTTCACTTCAGCTGTGCCATTTGTGTAGATGCCCCCAGGAGTGGTTGGAAGAGGCTGCCGAGCTTGGAAACCCTGTGGCGCAACATGATTTAGGCGCGGATGACTGAGCATCAGGGCCGGATGTTGCAAACCAGATTCAAAGGTGTCAGGCATTCCAGAATTCATGCTCAGCGAGTCTGTGATGGACGTTTTTTTAATGATTGGGTACTTCGCATGTGGCAGTGGGTACAACTCCTTTGGCTGATGTTGGCAGCTTCCGCAAGAATGAAGGCATGGCCCTGTACACCAATGCCCTTGGCAGGAGTGAGAAAAGAAAACCGCCTGTGACCGACCGTGTTGTGTAAGCCAGATGGATAGAGGCGTAATTAATAATGATGAATAACTATGTATATATATATACATAGAATATGAGTTGAAGTCAATATTGTATATAGAGCTAGACACACAATAGCAGCAAAAATAGAAGGTGGTGCACTCCGCTTGGCAGAGGACATTTCTTGACTCCCTCCGCGTGTTCCATTTTTCATACCGAATAGATACCCACTGCGACCCACGGTCAGTGAAGAACGCACATGTACTAGTACGAGATGTCACTTCAGCCAATTTTTCCTCAGCTTCATATTTCACAACCAGAGGCTATCCCAGACTGGAAGGGATTCCATGCTGTTGCTCTTCCCCAATTGGTGCAATGTGAGCCAAGCACAACCATTTCCCGACGTTGGCGCCACCGTCAGCCACTAGGAGGGATCGCCGACACGCGGCTTTCCTGTGGCTGGAGCGTGCGGCGAGACAAGGTCATGCAATGGCCTGGGGACTGAGGACATATCGCCCAATTGTGATGCATCGGGGGGGTTATATGGCGCATTTTATGCCGTGTTAACACCTTTGATTCCTGAGTCCGACTTCTTGATGATGTTCAGTTTTAACCAGGCGCGCATTTGAACAATACATGGAATAGAATGGAATATTTATATGATATTTATGTGAGCGGAAAATTCCAACGGAAACACGAGACTCCTGCATGTGTTTTTTGGCCCGAAGTCATCCAACCGGCAGCGATGTTTGCTCGTCCCAACGGGATGGGTTCGTGAGTTCGGAGGCAGTCGGAAGCGAGTCATCCTCCATGGAGAAACGAAAAGGCTACAAGACAACGCCCATGTTGGCACTCTCGGTGGTGAAAGCCAACGGTGATCTGGTTGGCACCTTTCACGAGCCGCCAGACTCGTTGGTATCTGGGCAGCATTAATCATTGGGCTGGAGCCCGTCTCTCACTACAGTACATGCTGGCAAGGGGATGAGACGGGTTTTTGCAAAGGGTTGCCTCGGAATGTTCTGGACATGTCACCATTCCAAAGCTTGGTTTATGGTCGTGCCAGGAAACTCTTCCAATTCATCCCATCTTGGAGCCTCAGAACGTCCCGACCTCCCGCCCCGTTTACCCAGGTCCTGCAGCTCCAGCAATCCATCCACGCGCGTGGCGGACCGGCGCCGCCCTTCCAACGTCTCCTGTGTGGCCCTCGGGAGCTTGGCGCCACGGAGTCCCTTTCTTCGCTGCGCGAGGAGGACACGACCTTGCAACTGCTGGTGGTGGTGCCGGAAGGACGACCCTGTGACGTGAGGCGAAAAGAAGATGCAAGTGAAGTCAAGACAGGTCAAGAGGGCATCAACAAGATTAAAGATTAAGCATGTAAATTGTATTGCATTACAACAAGTGAGATACAGAGGGGAGCTCCCCCGGAGAGTGGAGATTTCTTAGTGTGTCAGTCCCACAATGCCGAAGAATGCCCGTCGAATTTGTAGCACGAGGTGGTTGGAGGTCCAGCACACGGACCAGCTGTTAGAAGAACTGCAGGTCGAGTACGTTGAAGAAGGAAGGTCAAAGAGACTTATGCCACTGGGATGAACGCAAGGCGATGGACAAATCAGTAGCGTACAGAGCAGTTCTGAACATCTCAAGGATGACAAATGGTTTTGGCATCAGGAGAAGGGCCTATACAAATTCTGTTCTTTTGGCCGCTCCTGGAGACCCAATTGATGGACTCCAATAGCTATTCTTATAGGTTTTGCACCGTTTTTGTTGTTGTTGTTGTTGTTGTTGTATGGGTGCACCAGTCTCTCTTGGTCGGAAGGTGTTGTTGTTTGCTAAGAGGTGTTGTTGTAATGGTTTTGATCCTGCAGAACGCAACTCCCTGAGTATTTGGTGGAAAACTTGCAACATTTGTTCAGACAAATTATGCGAGCTGGATATTTTGCTGGGTCAAAACTAAACAACTCCAATTGTATAACTAGATTATACTTAAAGGTCGTGTCACATCTCCAAAGATTCAGTTTTTTGTGTTTTCGTTCTTCGGGATGGCGGGCACGACCACCAGCTCACTCCCTAGATGGCCTACTGGCTGAAGCGCATGTCCATCAACTTTGCATCTCCTCTCCAAACCTGCATATTAGGCCAGAGCAGCGGGTGGCGGTTGTAGGCTTGGAGCCAGACACTGGGCTCTTGATCTTGGTGGGCACTGGCTTTGAGGAGCGCTGCTTTCGCCGGTAGTAGGGCCGACGGTTGAAGCTTTGAGCACGCCAAACATGCGCCAGAAATGGGAGTGGTGGATGCTACTTTGCATGACCCAATTTGTGGGTCGGTCACTCTAGCTTCTCTCGATACAAAAGATGCTTGTAATATATATATATATTTATAATATATACTTATATATATATACACACGCTATAATATTCTTAGTTAAAGGATGTTATTGGTAGCTTTATGTGCACTTGAGATATAGGCTGTTTTATGTTGAAGTCTTAGCTGCCTAGTCCAATTGTGTCTTGCAGGAGAATACTCCAGAGGGAGGTAAGGGCTTCCGCAAAGGCCGCAATCACAATCGAGAGGATTGTTGGGCGCCAGAAGCTTCAATGTATATATCTTGAGACTCGGGGCCAGCGGGCCAGCAGGCCCACCAGCAGAGGTTTTGTATTGTAGTTGTTGGTGTGGTGGTGGTGTGGTGGTGTTGTTGTTGTTGTTGTTGTTGTTGTAACCCATCGGGATCCAACGACCCATGAAGTTCTATGCTTCAGGTTGAGGATTCAATCCATTCAATTAGGTCAATCATTGGTCAGTGGATTGATTGAGTTGATGTGTGGCTTAGCGCAGACGGAACAAAAGGGGTCCGGGTCTGAACATGTTGGTGTCGTTATGGTTGTGAAGGTTTCGGCGCAACTAGCCGCAAATGATAATGGAGCCGAACACATCTCACCATTTGAGGAAGGCTACAACTTTGTGGAGTCAAAGATGTTGGTGCTTCCTTCGACGCTATGCCTGAAGTTTGGCGGTGATGAGTGAGCACATCCTGTGATTTGAGTGGATACATCCAGTGCTTAGTGCTTTTTAAAGTATATTCAATCTTATTCACAAGTGCTTGAAGAGGGCAGACTCAAATGACATAGCCAATGAATGCGCTTTTCGCAAAGCTTCAACTGGTTTGACAAAACCCAGCTATTGACGGAGAAAGATGAAGCGTTGTTTTTGGGGGGTTGGCGCCTGATGTTGTTGCAAAAGGGTGCATGATGGTGCATGGGACACTGGCGTGCCCATGGGACACTGGGCCGGGCCCATGCAAATCCATCGGCGTGATCGTCGTTCACGGCTTTGCTGCGGAGACGGTTCGGGTGATCCGCCTAGTGTGTTTTGTGACACTTTGTGTGCATCCACCATCATATGTGTTAACGTTCGAATGCTTGAGGCTAAGCACCCAGAGCTCAATTTCAAGTAGGGTGTGTTTCCCAGAGCTCAACGTCAGCAGGGGACACCCGGGGACACAGGTCAGATCCCAACCTGGAAAGATCCCAACATGTCAGCAGGTCACCAGCAGGTCCCAGTCTTCGATTCTTGGATTCTTCCTACCCGTTCCTACCCAGCTGCTGGAGGACTGGAGGGCAGGCACCCTTCGGGGTGCCCTTGGACAAGGATCATGTGCTTCGAAGCGCGGTCGAGCTGCAGGCGCGCACAGCACACCTGCACAGGGCTGAGCGTGATAGAAACAAGAACTGTACAGCCCAGAATCCAAGGCCGAAGCAAAGATTTTTGGCAATAAGTCTAAGTAAGTCATTCATAGTCATTCTGTTTTCCAAACTTGGTCCTTTGGGGGATACTCATCCAGCTTGCAGCCCGACCCTACCCATTAAATGCACTAAAACGAACGCGATCTTAGCTGCTCCAATCAGTGTTCTTGAGGCAACTCAATTATATAAATTGCAAGCAAGAAAGGGAAGCGGTTGTGGAAGCGACAACCGGCAACGGGTCAGTTCGCACGTTCGGGACGTTCGCACGTTTTTGGTTGGACGGTCGCTGCACAGGGTCGTCGTCGCAGGTGGTGGAAAGCGCGCGGGGCTATCCAATGCCATCCATGGGTGTGGCAGTGGCCATGGTGCGTGAAGACGGCTATGGCCCTGACTGTCGTATGTCACTGGCTTCTCGGATGTGAAGCTGGCTTGTAATGGGTGGACCTGGAACCGTTTGGCATGTGGAACCGTTTGTTTAGTCTGACCTTCCAATGCACGTTCGATAAAAAGGGAGTGGATCCAAGTATAGTTCCAGATGCCCACTTTTGTGAGAAATTCCACTGCTGTGAGGTATGCGGCATGCGTGACGAAACAGTCCTTGCTTGTCAACCTGCCTAAGAGTTTTTGCAGTGCGCTCACTCATACGTATTTACTGTATACTGTATCACGGTGTATCCATTGTGTGTCATAGTCATATGAGTCATATAGTTATTTGACTTTGGACTTGCCTAGTCCATCCGGCCCTCGCATGCCCTGCGCGAGGTGGTCTTTGAGGCGGTTCCGCAATTCCTTTCCGAGACTCGCTATGGCCTCGACTCTCAGGCGGGAGTGGGAGCGAAGCGATATTGGAGAGGCAACAAACCACAAACCAAAGACCCTGCAGATTGATAGATGATATTTCCATACTTCAAGTCTCCATCGGATTCCATCGTTTTACTGTGAATTTACAATGTTTTACATCTCCGCGCTTCGGTGTTTTTAAGAATCAACACTTGACTAGTCGCTTCAGGCCTTCTGCTTGGATCGCCCACAGCTGCGCGCCCTCTGGGCCCAGCCCAACCGGAGCGGGTCCTTGGAGCTGCTGGCCGCGCCGCTGCGAAGCGACGGCGATCGAGCGGCAGAAGTGGTGGCCCTCCTGCCAGGCTGGGTTTGGTCGAGTTCGGTCAGAGTTGGTCGGGTGGTTGGTGCGCAGATCAACAAAGACTGGTCAAGTCTTGCAAAATCCCGCCAAACAGTGACACATTGGATGTTCAATCTTCTCAGACTCCAGTACTAGAGTGTCTCTCTTCCTCTCTCTTTTGTGGTTTTCTTAACTCAGCTGGACTCCAGGTTCGGCGCGGGTGACGAGTCGCTTGGTGACAGAGGTCTGGCGGGTCGGTGCCGAACTGCTGACTGCGGCACATGCGTTTCAAACTGAGAATCGGACAACATAGCCGTAGTTATGAAAGTCTTAGATATCAAGTTAAAGGACCGGATAACCCCACAAGTGTAGTCTTCCGTATGTTACCATAGGCACAGACGTCAAGCCGACGAAGAAAAGAAACAAAGTCAGGTGTAGAGAACATGTGAGTGGACTTGAAATGTGTTGTGGAGAGGGAGTTGAAAGCTGTGAGATGAGTTGCTGTGGTGAGTTGTTGGTTGTGTGGGTGGCTTCTTGTGTGCTAAGTTGATCGACTTGAGTTGGGTGGATGAGTCGATGGTTGTATGAGTGATGTCTTACCAGCGACATGCCGCACTTACACACGCATGTTT